ATGATTGTGCAGTAGTCAGTGATTGGTGCAAGCACCATACGAATTCATAGTACACAATCTTATAATTAGATGAAAATAAAACGTGCGACCATTGATGTATATATGTATATATAGCCTATGACCGAGTGCCGACTTCTATATCATATAGAAAAATGAAACCGACAAAAATAAAAACTATATTCTGTTTACAACATGCTCGGGAAGTTATTGCACGTTACCAGAAACCAGAATCGGTGTCTACCTTAGTACGTTAAAACACGTTTAACTAATTCTAAATTAAGCTCGCAAATGACTCACTTTAGCCTTATCGCGACTACGTCTTAAAATAAACGTTGTTCCTATCGTAACAACCTTTAAAAGGAATTATTACTGCTTCGCCAACTCTGTGGTGCTATTAGGTTCGCCTATAATAATTTGATGTTAGGTTTATTGATAAGCAATAACAAATTAGCATACACCAAGTGGTAATTGTATTGTAAGTCACCTCTAGATGCGATGTCACATCCGTAGATTAAAACGGAATGCTTCATTACGGGTAATAAAGGTCGCCGGTTCCCCACAATCATAATACAACAGAATTACGTTGGCATTTTACACTGGTATTCTGTAAGAATGTGAACATTCCCCGGTCGAGCCGACCCATTCGACCCAGCCGTAATATAGCTGTAGGGTTCTATCACGTATAAATATATAATCTTAATCCAAATCTATAATATAGTAAGTGGTTCGCCGCAGCTTCGCACGGATGATTTTCTTAATAACAGCGCCACCTATGCCAATGTATACCACTAGACCATTATGGCGTGTTATTTACAAGATGGTTAGTATTATTTTTTTCAATTTGCGAGAAGGTTAAATTTAACAGTCACGTATGGAATTTTAAATGTCCCAGAGCTTTGTACTGACCTCTCATTACTTTGAGTTAGCGTGAAGAGGTTAACGGATATACAACATGATAAAAATTGTATATCTCTGATATACAAATTTCCACCCGATATTTTTCGCCAAGCACGCGATGAATTTGCAAGTAAGATTGCAATTAACAATTTTATTGATTACCGGTTGCCGACATCGGGGATTGCCTTGAAATGCCGGCGTATTATGCAATAAAAAGCGGCCATTTTTATTTAATTTTAGTAAAAGCCTCAGAGTATTCTTTAATGCCGACTATAACATAAAGTAAACGTAAAGTTACAGCCTATATACGTCCCACTGCTGGGCACAGGCCTTCCCTCATTTCTGAGAGGGTTTTAGGGCAAGGAAGTGTCCGCCTCGCTGCCCCAATGCGTGTTGGCGAACTTCGAATTTTTTTTTTCTTATTCCTCAAACATGCAGGTTTCCTCACGATGTTTTCCTTCACCGCCGAGCACGTGGTAAATCAAACACTTAAAATTGTAATTAACTATTTCATTGGTGCCGGCGGGGATCGAACCCGGGTTACTCGCGTTCTGTTATATTTACAGCGAGCGTTAACCATCTGAGCTACCACGGATCTTAAAATTAACATGGTAGTAAATGTTTGCCATCATAATGTAAATTTAAAGTAACAACTAATTTAAATTTAGTTTTAAGCTTTCTTTTGATTTACATACAGATCTAAGTTTATGTTTCTCACAAAGTACCAGACTAAAGATAAAATGAGTGAAAAACGGCAAGAAATTCTTCCACAAATACTTCAAGTATCTAGCTTCAAAATAAGTAGCGCTTTGGTGACAAGGAAGGAACGTATACACAATAGCATACATACTTAAAGACATATTATACAACTTAGGTTGTATCTCTCTAGATTAGAACCCGTGACCGCCGGTTCCGTGATCATGGATCGTCAATTTCATGATTGCCAATTGCCTACATCGGTTATCGTCTAGAAATGCCGGTGTATTGTGAAATCAAAAGCGGACATGCCAGTAAACTAGCTTGTAAAATTTTAGTTTTTCTTTCTACTTCGGAAAAAAGCATTAAGAAATTACATTTTAGCGAAATTTTGAAAAATATTTTTAAATAATTTTTTATACAGTTCCTCGTTAAACCACACATTTTCATGAATTATTTTAATTATCTCTTACATTACCACATATGAATCAGATAGCAATTTAAAGTATACTTTGCAATATTTTATGATGATACTATCGATTTTTACACCTTTATGCACTCAACTTACATCCGGTTCAAAGTCTGAACCATTTAAATATTTTGTTATATCTGTAACAGATATAATTAACAGAAGAATAGCTAATAGAAAAAAGTAATGTCAGCTTATGTTATTTTTATTTCAAATCAACAAAATTAAAAAGTAAGCTATGTTACTTATCACGATATAAAAAATTTAAAAACATTCCATCTATTTCAACAACCCACATTTTGATACGTAATTGAGGATAGATGTAGATGTCTATGGGCCACAGCAACCACTTACCATCAGGTGGACTGTGTGCTCGTTTGTCACTCTTATCCTATAAAAAGAATATTAAATTGAAATTATTTATTTCATTTATATATAACATTAAATAAAACTTTGATAGAAAAATTACAACTAAAAACTTCAATTATCATATTACAGTCGTATTCCCCGCGGTATCGTGCCAAGGACGTTGGCTACACTCTGCTTATTTCATTGGTCCCGGCAGAAATCAAACGTGATTCCAGCTCTCTCAAACCCCCTGAGTCATCATTACATAGAGCAACACGAACCGTGGAGCTGAGGGGAGTAGCCATATGCAGGCGTTCCCCTCTGTCAAAGTACAAGTTAACGCAGTACTTTTGTTTTGAATTTGATATCATAACAAGGTTCACGTGTCGGTTTCCTAACTTAAATGTGATAGAAATTGCTACTAGTAATTATCTAGAGCCTGAAATACAGAAAAAAATTATCACTTTTGCGTGTTTTACTCCGGGCATTAATCGTCGTATAGCCGTAACTAATTTGTTACAGTTGTGTTACAGTCGACGTCATTGTGATAAGAAGCGTCCAGTTGCAAGTTGTAATGGGCTCGCCATTTGGAATTGGAACGCGAACACTTAAAATTTCATACGCTTGGAGGCCCTAAGCACGGTAATTTTCTAAAAGTCGGGTTTTACTGTTTATAGCTTTATAGAAGGATGTCTGTATATCAAAACAACTTCACGTTTTGTTACGTTTTTGCGTCTCTCATGCCTCGGGAAACAATGATGATACCCTCTCTAAACCAACTTCATTCACCAGATGGGTTAGCTAAGTAAACTTTCTACTATCGTTTACGTCAATAAAAAACTAATGAACATTTTGATGTTGAGATATATTACTATATAATTGTATATTTTATATTAACGTTAACTTTTGTAAAAGGTCAAATTGGTTTATACCCCTGACCAAGATTACATTCACTATTTTTTAAACCAATAATTTAACCGACAGTCACCAACAGGGCATTTGATAACGAAGGCGGTCCAAATGACACCAGTTCGTGAAGGTGGAATCACGCTGCAGCTATATTATGATTGCAGCACGAGCGAATCGACTCGACCGTAGAAAGATCACTATCCCACAAAATAAAAACGTGAAATAGCAGCTTAATGCTATTGTGTTTTGTATGACGGATGTAGAGAACCGGAGGCTCCTGTTAATGGTAACGAGACATCTTATTCCTCAGGGGTGACAATGCATTTACATCACCTACAAGGGAATGGGTCTCCGTTTGCCACCTTACAAAATCTCACACCTATAAAATTAGATCTATTTTAAGTGCTTGACTAAGTTTCCACCTGATGGTAATTGGTAATTAACTCATAGCTTTTTTCTTTGGACTGGTAATGGTGGATAAGTAAATATTAATGATATTGTCACGTGAAACTAATGACCGTACGAGTTATTCGCTGACCGCAATCCTATTCGATAATTAACGACTTTGCGGTCTGGAATTGAGGTTATCTTAGAATCCATTTTTAACTTACATTCTCTTCTCAAGAAACGATACGGTTAAGTATATGAAGGTAAAATTGACTTAAGTGGCCAAGTTTGCAAATTTACCCAGAATATCACACAGTTATAGCATCATAATTAGCTATGTTATAACTAACTGAAAAGTAAATAGTTTATTCTTATTATTATTTAATAGCCTGGTTTTATTAAATACCGTCATTTATTACTAGGAGTCGGGATAAAAGAAGTGTATTTGTAAGGGAATAAGTCCCTTAGCCGTGATGCCACAGTCTTCGCAAAATTCGACATTTGCGGTTAAATTCCATACTCTTAGTTCGCATGTTTTCCACGGTACTTCTTTCTTGAAACCGACCAAATTTCAAAACCGTGTATACTTTTAAACTAAATTCTTTTCATAATAATACGATGTACGTTCAATTTTCGGATGCAAATCTCCTTTTATAAGCGAGTGAGGTGAGTTCTGTGGCAGGGGAGAGTCCGCCGCATTGGCCTTATATGTGTATGGCCTTTGTGTATGTATAAGAAAAACTTTACATTCGTATACCTACAGAGATGTAGTGCGTCTTAGCGCGGTTTAAATTATATAGAAACATTGCAATTTTATTTGTCTATGGGCCACAGCATCCACTTACCACGTGGACTGCGTGCTCGTTTGTCAAACCCATTCCGTAAAAAATGACACACAGGTTTCCTTATGATGTATTCCCTCAAGCCGCGCACGTCATAAACAAGAACAATTGTAATTCAAAAAACAATTGAATTTCATTAGTGCCAGCGGTAAATAAATCTGGGTCGTTCGCGTGCTGTGACAGCACATATTACATTGTAAATTAATATTTGCTGGTTATATCCAGGTCGGAAGTTTTTTGCAAAATAGTAGGTAAAATCATAAACACTTTCTATAAATATTCTTATAACCTATATTGAAAAAAAATTATATTATATTCTCTTCTGTGTTTACGACCAACGCTAAGTCCCAAGTAGCAGTAAATGATAGAAGAAAAACAGAACTATAACTTTATAAAATACTTTCTCGATAGGTAATACATTTTTGACTCTACTGATAGCATTTTTTTTACAGGTGACTGCTCCAGCTTGTTATGCGGTCGCACGAAGGAGGTGGAGGTCGGAGGCGGGGTGAGCGCGGGAGCGGCTCTAGCGCTGTCTCTCGTCCGACCTCCTTCCTCAGCTGGTTCCAGTACTCCATGTCAGCTCCGATTGACGGCGCCAGAAGCGGCTGCATTTACTGTTAGACTCATTGACGTTAAGGTGAGTTTTTTAATCAAATTAGCTGTGCAAGACATTAAGAACCACACGAGTCATGTATGTACGATAAGAAGTTATTTATATTTACCTAATTGACTTTATTTGTTTTAAATGTAAGACATTTATCTGTCAGTCTCCATCTGCAGTTCTTGGTCAATATGTTACTTTGCTACATATTTTAAAATAATACAAGGGTTGTTTAAAGTCTATACATTACGAGAATGGTAAACAAAAATTCTGTTTGTAGACATTTGATCAACGTAATAATTTTCCATATAGGTACTTTAAACCAACAAAAAAGAGGATGGAGCACTGCATTCATTTCATAGACTATCAGCCACCATGTACGTACTTATAAAATAAAGTAATATGCAATTTAAGTAAATCAATAATTAAGTTTGAAATATAATAATTACAATAATAGAATTGCTGAATTGGTGTTTGCCCATTTTAGGGGTAAAAAACCAGATTTTTTAAAATAAAATAAGAGTGGCAAACGAGCGTAACCTCAAGATGATAAGTGGATACTGTGGCTCCTTGACATCTAGGTACGTCTATTCTCAATTAAGAATCAAAATGTAGATACGTTGTTACCCCTGAAGTAAAGTAAAGTTAAATTAAAGTTAGCCTATATACGTCCCACTGTTGGGCACATGCCTCCCCACGTTTCTGAGAGGGTTTTACGGCAAAGAAGTGTCCGCACTGCCCCAATACGTGTTGGCGGACTTCACATGTCTTCGAAATACTTTTTTTTATCCCTCAGACAGGTTTCCTCACGATGTGTTCCTTCACCGCCGAGCAAGAGGTAAATCAGCAACTAAAATTGCAATTAACAATTTCATTGGTGCCGGCGGGGATCGAACCCGGGTTACTCGCGTTCTGTTATATTAACAGCGAGCGTTAACCATCTGAGCTACCACGGCACCCTTGAAGACTAAGACGGAATGCCTCATTTTTAGTCAAAAGGGTCATCGGTTCTCTACTCTCACCATATGAAGCGCAGTAGAATTAAGCTGTTATTTTACTTTAGTATTCTGTGAAATCGTAGTCCTTCAGCGGTTGAACCGATCCATTCGCGCTGCAACTATAATATAGCTATAGCATTACTCGACCACGCATAAATGTTGTGAAATCGTTTTTGAAGTGAAAACTTCTTTAGCGGCGTTGTACACTTTTTTTGTAAACTCGCGTCAGGACACGTGACCTGATCGAAAATTCGTAAGATGGACGGCGTAGGAGAGGAAGTATCCCCCTCTCTTTCTACGGCGCGGCAAAAATATATGCGCCTGCTGTTTCGTTTCGGCGGCGCAGGGTGCTTGCGCGAATGTAATATAAATTGTCATGTTTGTGTACGATAGCACAATAAATAAATATTGTATTCTACCACATTAATGATAGTACTTTTATACTGATATTTAAAGCAATTCGTGCAAAATTATTCCCTAACCATTCCAAAATATCAAAAATTCAAGTTTTCACTTTTGCCGGCACTCCCGGAGTGTAACCCGTCGTTTTTTTTATAACAGTAATATTTCATGTGAAAATTTTTATATTATTAGACGTCGCTTGTTTGCTTATGTCTACACACATAAACAAAACAGGCTAATTTGGACGCCGTACAATGGGAATGATTGCTATAACACATAATAGATTGCGTTTTCTTTTTCACGACCTTCGCGACACGTCCCCCTTTAACGGTTAATGTATGTACGTTAAAGTTAGTATTGCTCGGAATTGAAATTGTGTTGTAAAGACGATGAATAATTAGGATTAGTGCAGGTCACGTAGATGAAATTCGCTGGCGTAACAGTTGCAAAACGATTCGAGATAGTCCAACCGTGTGACAGTTGCTACATAATGCACTTGTGATACTCTATCGCGCAACTGCTGATCTTCGAGATAATGTTTGTCTTTAGGGGGGTTAGAAATAAATATTGCGCAGACGTTGACAAATCACAGAGACAATGCAGTTAAATTGACCTCGTAGCAACAGATGTAGTTCTAATTTCATAATATTATTGTTAGTAATTCCAAATATGTGAATTGAATAGCTAAAATAAAAATACCCCCAAAACTATGTTTCCCAAGCGAGTCAATGGCTGTCAAGCCAAAACAGTGCTCCCCGTTGCTGATGCGTGTATTCTTATTTTATTAAGGTAGGTATATGCGGCATTAAAAAAAGGGTTCTAAATCTAATAGTGTACTTTTTGTATGTAACTAATGTTACGCAGTGTAAAGAGATTTTTGTGATTCTTTTTTTTTAAGTAAACAGATTTATACTTCAGGGTTGGTCGCCATGGTAATGAAGAATAAATTCCACCTCTAAGGGTGTAAGAATAAAGGATGAAGTTTTTGAAATCACTATTTAGATGCCATTTGTGATATATTCTTTAGTCCACTTACAAGGGTCAATAATTAGACTTAGAAAAGTTAAAAGCCTACTTCAAATAAGTGAAAAGAATAAAATAATTTGCACATAACAGCTTCTGAAGTCGGGGCTTAATTCTTCGATACTTTGTCATAACTGATTTATCTACTGTTTATGTCGCTCCATTATCAGTCTGGTATTGTACGTTAATTACTATCATATCCAAACTGATAACGGGGGTAGCGTAAAAGGTGCAAGGCTTCTGGTATTGCAATCGCCAATACGCTTGTCCAACGTGGCGATTAAGGCGAATTCGCTCTACATTCAGTCCAGCAAACTTTTACAAAATGGTGCAGAAAAATAAATAAAAAGTAAAGTAATTTTATTACATGTTTTTATTTATTTTAATAGGTCTATTATCAGTTGTTTCCATTAAAAGAATAATAAATTACCAGATGACATAAAAACCGCCACATATGATTTATTTCAAAAGTAAACTTAGAAAATACATAGGTACGTAAATGTACAGTGTAACTCATTATATTATGTATGTATGTATAAGTAATGAATTAATGACTATATCCTTTCCAACATTCTAGAGGTGGATGTGATAACATTATTTTATGTTCTTATGATAAATAAAATTCTTTAAACCGAAAAGTCTACCAATAATCATTCTTAAAATAATCTGGCCAAATGTAACAACTAAAGGTACAACATAAAGGTAAACACCGCTTGCTTATATTAGGAGTAAAGACCTTGATCGGAAGTTCGTATTTCGACCCTACTTTCAGGGACGAAAGTGCAACATTGCCTCCCGATTCAATGGGTGCGTTTGGCAGAAAAAAGCGCTAGCAAGCGCTTGCAAGCAAAATGGCGATCGTAAGCGGTAAGCGCTGTCAAATCGTAAGTAGCTATTTTCCTCCAGGACACGATGTTAGTTTTAACCGGGGAATCTAACCTAATTTAAATATATGTTTATAAATTATTCGTACTAAAAACTGACCAATCATGAGTTTTTAATAGCATGTATATGTTTATTCATGTCATTATATTACTTAAAACTAATATTGCACAAAACAACTTATAAACTCTACTTCAAAACAAACAAATTAAATAAGCAAAATGGCGGATTGTGTCAGCGCTACTGAAGTAGCAATCGTGTCCTGGCCAAAAACTATTTTAGCGCTTATAAGCGCTTGCCAGCGCTTTTTTCTGCCAAACGCACCCATTGACTTATTAATTTAGTACGTATGTGTCAAATTTCTAACTCTATTGTTTTTAAACGTCAAAAGTATATATCATGATACGTTTTATGATACATTCATCTCGATCAAGGTATGATAAAAATAGTATACGCACAACGGGAGGAAAGTTTGACAACGCAACCCGCATTGTTATCAATACAATACCACGCGGGTTCTAATGTCATAGTTTCCTCTCTACTCATACTAATAATTAACAGATACAAATTATCAGAGCCAGTTAAATGCTTCCAATTTGTTAATTAATAGAATCAGGCGTTACTTTGCGGAAATACATTATATTAAAGATATTAATAATTAGTTTGCCAAAATCCACGTAATAAAACAAAATGATGTGTCTTACATGGTTTGAAGATTTTCAGTAGATCTAAATTGATTTTCTCCCTTATTCACTCTCTCACTGTGAGAGAGTGAATAAGGGAGTCAGTAGTGACAATTTACTGCATACACAAGTATACTAGGCTACACTAAAAGTATCGGGTATGGAATATTTCCACTGTTCCTGTCATATTAAAATCTTTTTAATTGAAAACTCCTTGGTTTTAAAAATCGAATACCATTTATTTATTTAAAAAAAGATTCTCGGTCTTGTCACAAGGTTTTCTCAAACTTGTTTAGTCGTTGAGAAAATGGAATAGGACTCGAGAAAATTCAAGAGCGATGATTTATTATGACTTTCGAAGTGGTTTAACACAAAAACAGTGTGTTGACCAGATGATTTCTGCATTTGGTGATGAAGACCCATCCAAAACCACAATTTATGGCTGGTTTGCTGAATTTCAACGTGAACGTGTCAAGCTCAGTGATGATCCCCGTCAAGGTCGTCCAAAAACTGCAGTCACCCAAGAAAACGTTGATGATGTGTGTAAGCTGATAGAGGAAGATCGACATGTGACATACCGCGAAATTCAGGCAACTTTAGACATTGGCATGAGTCAAATACAAATAATCTTGCATGAATAATTAGGTGTAAAAAAGTTGTTTTCCCCATGGATACCGCATTCGCTCTGTGAAGAGCAAAAAGCGGCTCGCGTTACTTGGTACGTCAGAACTCTCGAAAGATTCCACGCAGGATCCTCAAATGTTGTATACAACATCGTATCAGGTGACGAATCCTGGACATACGCGTACGAACCCGAAACAAAAAACAAGTCACGAGCTTGGGTGTTCGAAAATGAGTTAAAGCCAACAAAAATTGTTCGTTCACGGAGTGTTGCAAAAAAAAATGGTGGCCACGTTTGTCTCCAAAACTGGCCATGTTACGACTATTCCTCTTGAGAGACAAAGAACGGTTAATGCAGAATGGTATGCTAGCATTTGTTTGCCACAGGTAATTTCTGAACTCCGTAAAGAGAACTGCAACCGCCGCA